ACCACTACAGAGTAACGATAGATTTATCAGAATAATGTGATATGGTGATGGTGAGGGGTGAAAGGACAAACACAAATACAACCATGCTCGAGGCTGGAGATGAACCCACGATCCTTCAGTCCGAGATACCTACGGCACTTCTGTGAAATGGATATTGATTTCGAAATCACGCTCACTTAATATTGCAATAATTGTTTTACGTTTTTACGTTCATGTTGCGTTTAAGAACTTTCCGCTCGGAAGAGTGATATAATAAACCTAAGAGGATGATTAACACGAGGAGATAGTCTACATTGAGACTTGCTAATTTATTTCATATTACTACTACACACATCAAATAACAATCATTTAATAAAGCATAACACAAAATGGCACAATGGCAAAGGATTTGTCATTGAAACGAATTACTTCCCCCTGATATAAATGCTTAAATAAGGCAAAATGTCAAAAAGAAAGTAAACAGGAAATAAAGAAATAAAGTGTACACACAAAATTCAAATCTCTTTTGGGTGTTACAACACATCTGGCAAACCTGTTTTCATACAAAGAAACCGTTCGTCGAGGTATTTCCAGCTCCTCTGATTCTTACCTTCCCTGATCCTAGCTTAAGCGTTTGCATCCCTTTCTGAATTTGGAGCAGAAATGAGAGCGGAGTGTGGGGAAGCGGCCCGGGCCCACAGAAACGCCAGGCGTCAACAAGGGCGGGCAATTACGAGAAGCTCTTGAGGGCACATTTTGTCACGCCTGATATACTTGTAGTATGTCAAGGTTTTGTGCAAGTCTGGGTTAAAATAATTTAGGTACGGGATCTGTCCACACCTCTTTATTGTAGTCAGATTGGTCTACTATAAATGATATCGGATATGTTTATATTAATAGAAGCACGAGTATCTTCATACTCTCCGTATCATGTCTCCAGGTCTGGCAACGCTCGTTTTCGCTTTATTATCTTCAATCGAGTACGTCATAAGAAAATTTAAATTTAAACAAAGTAATTCTTAAAATTTTTGTTCATTTGCAGCATTTCCCCTTTCCTTTCGATAGCAAAGTATTGGCTTACGACTAAAGGAAGGCCATAATAATGCGATTATCGACATAATTCAGTGTTCATCTCCGTAGCTCAAGGATTTCTTAACAGTGCTTTCCCTGAACGTCAGATCTGATAAAGTCAGACGGAAGACGGTAATATTGAAAACAATTTTAATTCATGTTGAAAGCGCTTCTACTCTTTCTTTTTGGTGTGATATTCAGTACACACATTGTTTTCCGACCTTACCGCGAAGACTTACGAGGCACCTTTCCATCTCTACCATAATAAGGACGCATTATTTATCTATAAAAATCAACCCATAAAAATGTTGTGTTTTTTTTTTCAAACAATATGTTAAGTTTATCCTTTAGTGTAAAGAACTGTACGAACCAACACAATGAAGAAATAAAACGAAAAAAAGCATAGGGACATTGTAAAGACATTGTTTTCGGTAATCATGGAACGTCCTTCCAGAATCCTGGGGAGCTTAGATCACCTAATGTCTAATTGATATCAGATGGAAAGAAGGGAAAAAACGAGAGAAATTTCGAAAGTAACAATCAACGGTCAGGAAAACAGGACTTTCATTTTATTTGATAATCCACTTATTCGATTAACTTCGTTCCGTTATCCGAGAAAGGAGCTTTATGGAAAGCTGACAATCACAGTCGTTCTTCAACGCTGTCAACATTGAAAACTTCGTGAAACCCCACCTTTATGAGTATCACTACTCTCGATGAAGATGTTCTTGTAGTGGAGCGTGAAGATAAATTTTTGCGATCCTAAAAGTAATGAGTTACGAATTCTTGAATGGCACTTCCTTTCGGCAACACTGTGAATCAGGAAAAAACACTTCCTACTTGGGCCAAGTTGATCTATAAGAAAAATAATTAACTAAACAAAATTTATTGTTTTAATATTCTAGAAAACTTACGTACGAAGTTGATTTGAAGTATTTTGATACATAGAAAAGCAACATTGGCGGAGTAAATATATTTAAACAACGCTTTTATTTATTATTATTATAAATTATTCTATCTCTGTTGCTCTCTAAGCGGAACATAAGTATCATATTACTTAAAAAAGCCTAGCATTATGAGCTTTCTAAACAATTTGTCCACGTTCTTATGATCATTTCCAATGCAAATTGAAATGTATTAACTTTGATTCTTATGATTCCTGATGTTTTTTATGATTGATGATTCCTGACGCTAGAACTGCAAAGATCATTAGTCTCGTAAGTGTAGTGCATGTTTTCATCGTCAGTGGTGGATCTTTTGGCTGGCGAGATCCGGTGCCGACATACTGTCTGCTAGCGGGGTTTTCCACAACCAGTTATCTCCCATCAGCGGATCACCGCATCAACCAGGACAATCTCTAAGCTCTCCCGGCTCCCGGCTTGTGTGGTAGTGTAGTGCATGTAGGTGTGTGTGTAAGTAAGGGGTGAGGATGGGGAATAGATAAGGAAGGAAATATCGCGCTCGGTGCGTGGTCCGTTTGTAAGGGCAATTCTGCTCCGGCATTCGCCTGGTATTGATCAGTTACCACGGAACACTACCGATCAGAGCAGCCGGTCGCTAGTATTCTCCTCCTAGCTATTAAGCTAGTGTCGAAACTCTTGTCACCATCGGTACTCGAACCTAGTACCTCCCAATCAGAGGCTCTTCTCTTTACAACCAGACACTGATTTGGTACAGATTTTAGTTCAATTGACACACAACAAACACATCAACCCGAAAGATTCTTTTTTTTTCCTTTGTCCCCTCTTCGACAGTCGAATTCACCACTTCGACACCCGTCCGTCGTTCATCCGCGCGAACCGACTCCCCGTCCGAGCAAATCTCTGACAAAGAACCGCCCGAAAAATCGGTGTCTGCAAGCAGGCGGGCGCGGGAGACAGCGACGCGGCAGCTGGGGGGTTATCGCAGGTCGGAGCGCGTTAATTTATACCTCTCACAAAAGCGCGGGGGCGAAAAAAATATTATATGCCCGGATTTTCCACGGAAGGACTCCCGCATCTGATACCGCGCCGCCCGCCCGCCCCCGCCCCCCCCCACCCGCCGCCCCGCCGCCGCCACCGCCGCCTCCGCCTGCGCCGCGCGCGCCGCGGTAGCGGACCGAGTTATGAGGCGTCCCCGCGCGCCGCGTGTTTGGCCCCTGTGACAGGAATAATAATCACCCGCGGGGTGATGGAGGACAGGCGCTGGAGGGATGTGGGCGGGAAGCGCTGGAGACGGCCCCGGGTGGAGGTATTGTGCGGCGGAGACTTGAGCTCTGGGTGATGGCCTATCGACGGCATTGTACTCCGAGGTGCAATAATCGTTGAAATTGAATATGGTAAATGAAAGGTGTTGTCTGGTATCAAAACATTTATTTTGCGAAAGATCGTTTCGATCGCGTAGCGATCATCTTCGGAGCTAAAATTAGAATTATAGAAATAAAATTACATTAATACATGAATTATAAAAAAATTAGGTATTACTTATTACAAATGTAATTTTATTTCGTAATGTCGGTTCGAATGTTAATATTATTGAAGTAATTTTATATCGGTAATTCTACATTTAGCTCTGAAGATGATCGCTACGCTATCGAAACGAACTTAGCAAAATACATTTTTGATACCAGACAACACCTTTAATTTACCATGTTTAATTATTAGAAGGTATCTACCTCACCAGCGATCTACATGCCGATTTCAAGGTATCGCTAATGAACTAACACACTTAACTTGGAACTCTCGCAAGTCGCAGAGGGTTTTTTTCCCTAAATGTGAGGGAAACAGAATGCAGAAACGGAAGGAACTTCTCTTCTTATGGTAACTAGGTGGCTGCGAAGGGGTTCTCATCATTGTATTCAAATGTGGTTCTAATGCTAATTGTTCTATCCTGTTGGAGAATCTAGTTGGAGAATCCAGCTTAGATCTATTAGTGGAAATCATTCCATTGTGGAAACTAATACTAGCATACTCTCCGAAGGCTTGAGTGGTTGGGTAAGAGCTAAGTGAATGAATGTACAGCATGTAAAAATTAAGAGAAACAATGTGAAGATGGGTTAAAATACTATTATAAGCATACTTTTGTTCACATTTAGAAAGCATTTATTCCATAAATGCATACATATTTTATATTATTAGTTAATATTTCATAGAACATAAGTTTAAGACACCGGATGTTGACATGCCATCAGTAGTTGTCACTTTCAATTATAATGCTCATTAATAAGAAAATAACTACACAATAAATATTGCTTTACACGAATTCTGTGCGGTGGAGCCATCTGCATTGTATATCAGTAACTATCATAGTCCTTTGGCAATCAGTTTGAGTTAAATGGTTTGTTGTGTAAGTGTCAACTACTGATGAAATGTCAACTCCCGGTGCCTTTTAGCTTAAATCCGGTGTTTACTAATCATTGACTCTTCCTGTTGATTGAAGTTACATCCCAGATTTTTTGGTGGATAGTGAGAATAGCATAGCGGTATTCAGAGTGTCGTTCGTGGTGAAGATTAAACTTAAAATAAGTTGTCATTACTAGAAACGGAAAGCCACGCTTTGTGGGTTTTCAAGGCCTTTCAGCTCCATCATATACCGCAGGGCAGCATAGTGCTGCGGTGTTAGAAAAATAAACTTTCTACTGAACAGATTGTAGGAAGAACAGAAAAGGACATGAAAAGCTCTAAATCACAAGAGATCCAGCCTAAGAAGAATGCACAACGCTTATTTAATAGAAATAAGAGCAATATATACTCGCTCTTTGACTCATAACAATGTGAATAAATGCGCCAATCTCTAACAAATTACTAGAAAGCTTTAATTCTAATTTTAATGCATAAAGACAATATGTTATTTTCTAATGGATAAAAGAGTGGCAAATTTCAACAGTGCCAGTGCAAATCAAATAAAATTATCATTTAAGAATAGAATTTTTTAATGTAGCACTTGTATTGGATTCGCTTAGAAGAAGAAGTATACTTTCCTGAGTTACTTCTACTAGCAATTCCTTGTTTTAACTTTTATTGAATCTGTACATAAATAAATAATACAGATGTTGAAAGTATCACTCCTGTTTTGACGCTTATACAACTACTGTACTAAAAGAAATTTGCATGTATTAAAATTTCACAACATAAAATGAGAAGAACGTTTCCAAAAACGTATGCATGTCAGTTCGTTCAGTAAATTCTCCCAGCCCAACCTTTTCAATATATGTTGAAAATAGACACGATTACTCTTCTTTCAAGCACTAGAAAAAACCTTCATTAAATTCCAATGTATCAATGAAGCAAAAACTTTTTATTCCACAACTGAAGTTCCGACATAACAAAATAATATCCAACAGTTAATTAGTATAATTTGTCAATGAGTGAAAAAAGCATAGTAGTGGTGTAATGCTAACAGAAAATATATATGACTGTCTAATATGTGTAGCAATGCGGGTTGTGTTGCACCTGAAAAAGAAAAGAAAAAAATAAAGGTACCAATAATATTTAAATTTTTAAAATTATTTCCTTTTATATATTAGCAATGTTTTATGCCTATTAAACACCGTTAGAGAAAATTAGTTTTTTTTATTTTCTATTGTAACACTTTTTACCAAAAGAATGAGTATTGCAACGCGATTCATACAATCGCGTTTATTTCACTTTTTGAAAGGGTATAATAAATATTAGATGTATTGTTCTCACGCTAATTTATAAATATAATTGGTTTTTATTTATCTCAAAGTACAAATTTAATTCGTTGCATTTTATAAATGTATCTTCATAGAAGTAAAACTGCTTTTCATGATGAATTCAGTGTCATGTACGGTATCAATGAGTAATAAATTGAAGAAAGTTGATTTTAATGAGTTCTTTGACTCATTTAGAAAATAATTTCTGAAGATATTTTACCACAGTAGAGAAATGTTTTTTAAATAATTAAACATTTTTCTAGACTTAAGATGTATTTTGTTCATGAACTCCTTCAAAAATACTTCTTAAACTTCAATTACTTGAATACATTAACATTATCTACTTCGTGTGTTGAGACGATTTTCTTCATTTGAAGTGAAATCAGAGGAAACATGGAGAGCAATTATTGAAGAATTTCAATTAAGATCAAGCTACATATTTAAAGGAATTCATGTATGAATATCGATTATAACCTACATTGGATTTCACAGATTCATCACCGAAGAATTCATTCTTCAGTGATTTCATTATATCAGTATCTTTCGATTGCTTTTAAAACCTTATTTAATTAACTCTCCATTTCATCCGGATATTTCTGCTACATGGCATTCTCAAATTCATTCAAGTAGACTTTTCTGATATTTTATTTGAATACCAATCGATGTAATACCATCATTGTGGACTTAAAGTAATATACTTGGAATTAGTAGGTTTTAAAAAAGCATGACCTGACTTCTCAACTCCTCCTGGAAAATTCCTTTACAATACCTACAGGTTTTTCTCTCTCACAAGATACCTTTTAATAGGTGCAGATCGAAACTTGACCTGATGTTTTAAATAAAAGATATTTATACGTGCAGTAAAGATATGTTATGCCTTCGAGCGCTGTACGTTACTGAAAAATCGTGATCCGCTTTTCACAATGCAAATATTCGTTCACGTGGAGTTTGTATAATTCTACCATGTGAGGAAAAATGTCCTCGGAGGACATAAACCGTCAACAACATGAGTTTCAATTAGGCGGAGCGACCGCGAAGCTCTAAGCTAAAGCATGCGTCGTTGCTCACGCTCATGCAAGGACAGAAAGATTCGCGTGGCACGGCGCTTATACTCCTGCACACTCTTTTGACATTGAAAAACTGAAACCTGATGTGCGGCCAATGTGTTCCTGCAGCATCCATGTTAAGTGAACCTTTTTAAGAACCTTCCATTGTTCTGTGGCGTGGGCAGTATACACTTTTCCTCATAACGACTGATAAGAAGATTTAAAATTGCCTGCCTATTGTCACGTACAGTATCAGAGGGGCTAAGAGAAAAGTGACAGACCCCTTTCAAGGTATATACGTCTTAAAAGTAGGATTCAGATACAAAATGGTGGGGAAATTAAAAAACCAAATAACCTTCTATGTACGAATCATTTTTCTGTATAACTACCTAAAAATTTAGTAACTAATTTCTCAACTCACGTATTTTATGACAGACAAGTAATTGACGAATTGACGAAATAAATGCACAGATTTAGTACACATGGGCACAACGTTCCCAGAAATTAACTTTTAATTTCTGCTAAGAGATCTGTCCCACATAAACGGAAAGAAGAAATCCAAGTGAACAATGACAGCAAACCAGAGTCGTTCGCGGTCACACTGCTCGCTACAGCACAGCTTTCTTTTCCTTCCCACAAACTTTCAATGTGCAACAGCTGCTGATTTTTTCTCAGCGAGTAAATAGTGAATATCATTCAAGAGAAGAAAAAATTAATCCAGATTTCCACTTGCACCTGTTGAAAGGCCCTTTATCAGAAATGAAAGTGACGTTGAATAAATAAAATAAATAATACACGAAGAGCGCTTTAATGGGAGCGACTGCAGCTTACCTGCAAAATACTTGGCTGGAGTCGACTGTAAAGCGTCGAAGGGAGAATTAGGGCGCGCCCAGCACAGAGGGAAAGGAACCGAAGGGCCCCCCTTTCGAGGGCGTAGGTGGCGGGCGGCCGAAGGGCGGCTGCGGGTTCGTGTCCAGGAAGTAGAAGGCGGGGCCCCTGCAACATTTCAACACTTATTTGCTCACTATTGAACACAGATAAGCGAACAGAACCAGTTAGGACTACACTGCTCCTTAAATACTGTTTCTCACCACAAACATTCACCAAGAAGGTAAAGTTGGCGATAGCGTTTGTGGTAATGTCACTTTTGCTTGTTGAAGCCTAACTTGACAAAGAAATAAAAATACGTCTATTATTTGGAGCAAGAGTGATTTATTTACCTAATTAATAATGAATGGGCTGTTTCACAATCATTAATCGGTCCTTAGGGAGTCAGACAGCTGAGCCAGAATAATTCAATGCGCTTTTCCCTGAAGTAATCCAAAAGCCATAACAATAATAATTTTTGCCACCTCTTTAGCGGATATTGATTTAATAAGTGCACGGTTTTACTAGAAATTATCATTTTTATACTACACTTTAGAAACTTTCTTTTTCTCCCATTTTAACGAGAGTTTACAAACTCATACGTCACAATATAAACGTATTAAAAAGCAAAATCGAAATGGAGTTTTATGGATAGAGAGCAATGAGAGAGAAACTTTTACAAGTACATGAAAGCACGATAATTCCATTTTCCAAATTGAATCACCTTTTTCAGAGAGTAATCCCAGTGGAAAAGGATTCAAATCAATGGATGCAAGCAACAAGCAAAATAAACTAGTATTCGACGAATTAAATTCATTCAAAACAAACAATACTGCTTCTGAACTAACGTCAGTTTTAACATTCAGCAAATGCAATTAATTTTTTTTCTCTACTATTCATTAAATTTCAAAAATTCAGTAATATATTTAGTTATATTAGAAGCAAAAAATTCCCGCACAAACGATAAAAGAGCGCACGAAACAGGACCTTATATACATTACATGATATTTTTAAAAAAAAACATTATAAATCTTTAAGTCACAAAAAGTTAACATGATAAATTGTCTAAAAACAGGTAGAATTGTTAAGGGCAGCAATGTCAATAAATAGAAGTCATCTGCCACCTCTGAGATTCTTACGTCCTGGTACTGAAATGTCGTATAAACGCCAGAGCATACGCCCCCCTTCACAGAATTCAGGAATTGAAAACAAAGAAGGCAAAATAAAATTTCAATTAAAGAAGTTTAACTATTTCTTTTATGAAAAAAAAAGTACTCGGAAGATTTTAGCTGGAGAAACATTGAGCCACAAAAACAATTGAAAAACAAGCTTTTAGACGTCACGGCGAAATTTCACAGCGAAATTTTGTGCATTGTTGAGTTCTTCGTATAATTCGAAAACCGAACACACAGGAAAACTGGTCGTACTGGGAAACCGGACACACTGAAAAACCGGACACACTGAAAAACCGGACACACTGAAAAACCGGACACACTGAAAAACCGGACACATTGAAAAACCGGACACATTGAAAAACCGGACACACTGAAAAACCAGACACACTGAAAAACCAGACACACTGAAAAACCGGACACACTGAAAAACCGGACAACCCCACACACTGGAAAACCATACGCACTGGAAAACAGAAAAAAACAAAAAAGTATACAAAATGAAAAAAATGATAAACTGGCAAACTGGACAAACTAGTTTCCAATTTCTGGACCGGGCACCACTTATCAGGTTGCCATGAGTACAAACTATAAATCCATAATAAATACAAACCATATGGGAAAAAAAATACTGGAACGATTTTAGCTGGAGAAACTCTGAACTACAAAAACAATCGAAAAACAAGCTTTTATACAACAACCATAAAACCATAAATTCATATACAAATCCATAAGTACAAACAAGCACACACACGCACAGACACTGACCCGAAGTCACCGTCGGAGCCGGCGGCGGTGTCGGTGTCGTTGGCGTCGCCGTCGGCGGCGAGGGCGGTGAGCGACACGGAGGGCGCGTCCGCACACGAGCCGTTCTTGAAGTCGCCCCAGGAGCCGCACGCCCTCGCCGAGAACTCCTCGGGCCGCCGCAGCGCCTCCGCGTAGTAGTAGTAGGCGCGCCGGTGGCTGCATACCCCTGCACACGCACACGCACACGCACGCCCTCAGGGCTTTTAGTTATCATGGGGAATACCACGAGTGCGTTGGAAATTGTCGATAAATTGAAACGTCAAAACAACTAGTACAAATTAGCATAAAAAGTGTGAGTGAGATTTAAAATGTACCATATATTGCTAAAAAGTATTTCCGAAAAAAAGAACAAATGAAAGAATAATTAGTACCGTTGATGATCTTATAACAGAAAAGTAGAGTAACATTGATTCGGAAAAAGTTAATTATTAATTTCTATTACATTTTTTCAAACCCCTCTATGAGCAATTATATGATTTTTGCAGCTCGGTGAACGAACCCACAGATACGTTATCATTGTAAACACCACGAGTGTTTTGGAAATTGTCGACAAAGCTAGGAAGGGATTTGCTGAGAATTTTTCAATGCGCGAGTGGTAATACGACTATTTCACGAGTAAAATTATGTGTAAGACACATCCAACATGTCCCAAAAATAGAAAATAACATAAAGCTAGGTTGAAATCAAAGAGGTTATTTTATAGTAGTACGTAAAGGGTTTAATGAACTTCGACGTAATGATCGTTGTCCGCCTTCAAAGATAGATGAGTCACAGTTTATAATTGGTCAGTAGGGAAAAGCGGTAAGAAAAATAGGTTAGAAAAAGGGATAAATGTTTTGAGATATACCGCCCTGATTGAGGCATTTTGTATGTATAGTTAAACACAACTGGTTTTAATTTCCTGAGTGGAATCGTTTGGTATAACACAAGGAGTCAAAATCTCTTCACATTAACTTCATGAACAAGGACATGTTCAGTACTCCTCTCATGTGGGTGTTCAAATATCTTTTGCAAACGCTACCAAATGCTTAGGTATGGCATTAGGAGCTAAACTGCCGTAGGAGGTGCTTTTAAAAAAGAAAAATAATGAACTAAACCTCTTATATGTGCTCTGCCCTTCTTGCTGATAGAGGCTAGCGCGTAAATCGTTCTCATGATTTTCTCTTAAATTGATCGATCACTACCCATCTTTAAAAAAATTCTTGGCACTGCAAGTTTGAAACAATACTCTTTGGTTTTGGGGATTACTTTATTTAAAGCCTTGATTATCAAAATAGTCTCAATAATTGATACTATTTCTTGATATAACTTTGGTCTCGGAACGCGTAAAAAACTCTTAAAAATTATGTAGATCTCATTTTCGTTCAAACTTCTAAAACTTTCAAAAATTGTAAAAGTTCAAAATTTTCTCCGCATCTTCCTAAAACTATAATATTGAAGATATTACCTTTGGCCCCTTAATGAAATTTGTTTTTCAAAGTACATCTTGAAATAAGGTCTGTACAGTTTTTATAGTATTCGCCTAATTTTGCGTGAATTACCTACAATTTTAAAGCAGTTATTTTCTGAAAACCGGCTCCAATTTTTTTTATTTTTTTCTTGGTATGTAGCTCTGTAAAACGTGTTGCTGGTACTATTTTCGGCTGTCTGTATTTTCGAAAATTGAAGAATTTTATATTGCAAAATTACAAGATTGATGATAGAGATTTTGTTCTAAAATTATTTTTTTCTGAAAATTAGATTATTACGAAAGGACATACACAGTTATTTTATAAAAACAAGTAGTTTTTGCGTTCATTTTGCTTGACGCTATTGTAATTTATAGAAAAAATACTCAAAAACGTCTCCAACCTTTTTACATTTTTTCTTCTACGTATAGAAAAGGACGATAAAAATAGCGCAGGTATGCTGCTGTCTCTAACGTTTCAAAAATTCCAAATGTTATCAATACCCGAGAAAGTATGTGTTGTTGTAGCACCATTAGTTCGTTGTAAAACAATCTTTTACTAAGAAAGGAATGTTCACATATGCCCAACTGCTATGTTATTTGCAATTTGTTCCTACAGAAATATGTGGCAAAATTACGTAATATCAAAATGTACTTAGCTGGTATGTCTTTTACTGACTATTACGAGTTGGAAACATTAACATATGTACATACATAAATATAATGGTCACGTAACTACATAAACTAAATATACATAATTAAATGGAATGTCTAAACGTTGATATCGGTGAAGTCATCTGATTGTTAAGTCATCTGATTGTTTTCTCTTTTATCAAGTATAAAGGCGAGTGTATTTCGATGATTGTGTACATTCTGTGAGCATATATCATTCTTTTTTACTTTCCTGTATACGTACGTATATACGGAGTAATATAAGTAGAATCGGTAAAAATAAAATGCTGCGGAAAATAGATTTCGAAAATTTGACGGAAAAACACGTTTTGGGGTCCCCAAATGCAAATTTTCGAATTTTTCAACACGTCCGTCCGTCTACTAAACATTTAAGTAATTAAAATTTGAAAGCAAATGTACATGACCTCAATGAAATAACTCATTATGGAGAATAAACTTTATTTGAAGGAAAAATCTCTTTTTCATTTTGTAGTTGTAGGAAGTCGCCCGAAAAATTTCAAAACTTTCGAAAATTCTTCTTTAACTTGAAAATCGGACCTATTCCACCTTTATAAGTGCAATTACTTGATATTTCGAAATTCACCCATTTTTGAATTTGCCAATTGAGACTTTTAATGAATAGCTGAAATTCATTGAAGTTTGAAGCCATTTGACAGGGACACTTTTGGAATTTACAAATGCGGGTATTCCTTTTAAAGAAATTATTTTAAAATATTAATAATTTTGACAAGAACATCAAACACGAAAATGCTTATCGACAGCAGCGATAATACAATTCGCATAATTCACCATACATAAAAACCACAAACCAGAAACTGAATGAATTCATATTTGTGACATTTTCAACGTTGCTGCAATAATCTATCGTTTACAACAGTATCTGCGAAATAGAGAAATCAGCACTGACATTCGCACAAATACAAACCGATCCACGAATTCATTGTATGAACAGAGTAAAAGGCATTCTCTCAGAGGACAAAACGGTCAATGACTAATTGAAAATCATTGCGGCGTTAGAATTGGATAGTTAGTATCTAAATAATTCTTCCGTGCATTCATAACAATCAATGCTCATTTCGCAGTGTGTAGTTTGATTACTCTACGCTTATATTTGATACAGATAACACTTACTCTGGTTATTCAGAAATTCAACAACCTTTTGTGAGATATTTTGCCAGACAGGGGAAGGTATAATGTATTTACCACTTTCAAACACACAAACATTGATGACCATGGCTTTCATTAAATACGTGTTAAGAAAATAATATAATTTCAAATCGTGTTTCCAAAAAAATATATTTTTCGTACTACAAGTTCAAACTGCATTTCTTCTTCCAGTTTATTTATTACATGTTCTTAAAAGAGCAATTAGATCAATTACAACATAATTCTTCACTATACGCCTTGATAAAGGCCAGCGATCTAAAACTTCTTCTTGCAGTAAAAATAACACAGTTTCTCCTTAATGAAATCACACTTATTTTTCGAAATACTTAAACGTGATTCAATCTGATGCTCATTGTAATGTGTTTTGAAAAAAAATCCACTTAATTTTTACGATAATATAATTGTGTTTTACCTTACTTCGAGATACCAAACAAAAAATGGATAGTCATAATACGATAATATATGGTAAGGCAATACGTTCCTGACATGAGTAGTTAAACTACGACTAACATAAAAATACAATTTTTGAAAGGTTTCTTAGGGAGAATTCAAAATACGTTACAGTAGGGTAAGGGGGAATTCAAAATACTCCAAATTTGAGTTACGTAGTTAATGGACGGCCCCTTAACATTATTAGGTATGAATGAAAAAATATAAGAAATAAGAATATAATTCATACCATCAGAAAAATATTTTTTTAACTTTTCTAGGTGCCCAATTTACAAAAGCTGATATCTGCTGCGTATAGAAAAGCACTATCAGCTGCACTGCGGTCTGTTTGCCAGGAGGATGATATGAGGATTCTATCCGAAATTGGTTCACGTTACATGTCTAGATGACGGGTTGCATAGAGTAGCAGGGGAGATACGCCATCAGTTTCCGGAAGTAAATGCAGTGATTTCCACTGTCAAGAAGGTGTTCGTGAAAATTCTGTCACGTGTCAGACAGTACCCGCAGTTACTAGTTACTACCAGGTCAGCACCTACCACCAGAGCGTATTCTTGCGAGTAGTGGGGAACTTTCGATTGAAGCTGCTCTGTTCTAATGTGACTATTACTTGACGACAGGACGTCAAGAAAGTACTGGAGACGCTGAACAAAGAAGCCACAAGTATACCGGCTGCTATAAGAGCGTGCAATGTCGTTGGTCTCCTGAGCAAGTTGCCATTTAAGTTCATTTTAAAAAATTACCCTCCATCACTAGATTGGAAGAAAAGAGATTGCCACTTTCGGTAGCTTTTGAACTAAATGATTCGTTTACAAAACAAGTTATATCAGGGGTCACTGAACAAACTAGCAACAAAAACTGAAATATTAGAAGCTAGAAATTGATGTAAGTGATGTAATAATTGGAATATCTGACAAGGAACTGCAGGGTTATTCTTCTGCTGAAGATGATTCATGTAAATTTTGCTCCTTGGAACGTACGTTTTCTAGTTACAAAAAACATTTTAACAGACAAAATAAAATATGTCAGTAAAAAATACTGAAAAACAATTAGTTGTCACAACAATCCGTAAATGTACTGAGAGTGAATAAAAAACATCTAAAAAGGTATGAGTATATTTCAAGTAATTCATTGATAACGTTTCCTCATTTTTTGTGTTTGTTAGATTTCTTGTTCAGATTGTGAGTTTTTTAGTGCATATTTCACTGATTTTACGTGCATAAATAAATACATATTTTGACGGTTTTAAGTGCACAAATCCGCACTGTAGTGTTAAGAAAGAGCTCTCTCGCCGTCAAAAATGTGTTCAAATGGGACACGCAAACCTTGTTTAAAACGCCAACGACACATCACTTCCAAGTTACCTGTGATTGTATTGTCTGTTGCAATAATCTCTTTAGTAAGTGATAATATACAAACTTATCTTTTTTTCTGAATTCTGTCGGATGTAGGACTAGGATGTTCTTCTTTAACTAACAGAAGCACACTTAAGGTTTTGTATTGATGGTTTCTAATAAAATGCCAAAAACTGTCATCTTGCCTTAGCATATGGTATACTATACA